TCGGAAGGGGAGACTGAGGGGTCTGGGGGGGCATCCACCCCACCCCATCCCAGACCCCTCATAGCCCCCCCTTTCGATAGTCCGGCAAATCTGATAATCCGGCACCCCCTGGGTCCTAAAGGTGCCAGATTATCGGAAGTTTACTGTATTTGCTAATTCTTACCCAGATCCTCAATACCACACCTACCTATGATTTATCCAGTGTGGAATATTGTAGTCATCTAAGCGAGAATCCCCAGGACCACTGCGATTGTGCAGCTAAGAGACAAGAGAGTTCACAGGTGCAATAATTACTCTGAGATTTGTCCAACAAATCACGTAAGCAGCTCATAACAATACATATTTTTACCTTGAAGAGCGGTACAGCATGCAGTGGTTGCTCCCCCATGCATACTAAATCTACACCAATCCCTGAAAACAAAGAAACAGGAGGGTTTAGCTACATGATATCCAGAACTGTTGCTATTGGCCTAACCCAAACAGTTCACAAGTCTAGTTAAAGTTATATAAATCTGCTGTATTTGAACTAAATTTTTAAACCTGATTACAATAAACTGCTGATGATCCCATGCTTTCTTCACATTAACCACTACCAAGCAGAACTTGCCTTTTTTGTAAGCAGGCTGCTTTTTCTAGTCTGCATTTACTTCCATGACAGTGATCTACAATGCCAAAAGTTATGGAAGCAGAGGTGCAGCCAAGTGTTGTTACTGCTGTGGTTTATACATACAGAACCAGGCAGAGAGATGGGAAGAGTTTCCTCTAGATTAGGAGTGGGCAATAATTTTTGCTCAAGGGAGGACACTCCAACAATTTAGAAAGTGGTCAAGGGCCGTACTTTCCTATGGAGAAAGCCTGTGATGGAGGTTGGGTACAGAGGGGAGTTTGGGTGAAGGAGAAGGTTGGGGTGCAAGATCTGGGAGGAGATTGAGAGATGGAGGTGGAGTGATGGTGGTGGGGGGCACAGGATCTGGGAGGGGTTTGTGACATGGAGGTGGAGTGGTGGAGGGGGCGCAGGATCTGGGAGGGGTTTGTGAGAGAGGTGGAGTGGTGGTGGGGGGGCGCGCAGGATCTGGGAGGGGATTGTGACCTGGGGCAGAAGAGCATGCAGGGATTTGAGTTGTGACCAGGAGTAGGGGATTGGGGTGCAAAGTCTGGAAGGGGCAATGGGTTCAGGAGCAGAGATGCAGAGGGTTTGAGTTGCATGGGGTAGGGATCCAGAAGGGAGTCTGACGGAGGGGGGAATGGAGGGCTGGGCTGCCACAGGCAGGTTCTGGCCAAGAGATATTTACCTGGGCGGCTCCCAGGGAGTAGCCCAGCTGAATCCTCATCTGGGGTTCCTGCTCTCCGTGCCCCTGTGCTGGCTGCAAGGGCCATGTGAGCTGAGTCTAAATGCTGGGAGTCTGGGGAAAGGGGTACTTTGCACACTGCCTGTCTTGCAAATAGGCAGCTCCCATTGGTCAGAAATCAGACGATGGGAGCTGGTGAGGGCAGCACACAAAGCCTCTTCCATCCCTCCAGGCTCTCAATGTTCAGAGAGCTGCTCTGAGTGTATAGCTGGG